TTTTTTTTATGACATTAATTCGCATTGGCTTACAGCAACGAGGAATTGCTTTGGCCAAGGATTCTAAGATTAGGTTTATATGCACAATTATTTTATTAATATCTAGTGCTGTACTTTAATCTATTGGGAAGGCAGCTCTCAATGTTAATACGATCTAATGAGCTTTGCGGTGGGATTTTTTATCACCCATTCACCCATGCTGCGAGTAGCATCCAAACATCAGTCACGATTCGTGACACGAACAGACACACAATAGAACGAATCGAACGAGATCTACTATAGTTAACTCGTAGAAACGAACTTCCCGAATGGACTAGAACAAGTTATATTAATATTAATGCGCCGGGCAGGCGGCTATTCCAATTAAATGTTAATAATTTGGCTGAAGTCATCTGAAAAACTTATAAATATGGGAAGTAAAAATAGAATATAGAATTTCAATTGTCAGACTCATCATAACCGATCGTGGTGTTACTCACTGCGAGGAATGCAATTCAATTTCCCCGCCCCAGAGTAAATGACATTGCCAGCGGGGTTGGGGGTCATGCAATAAGAGTAAATACACATGTAAGCCACCTGGCCCCCCACCCCCCGTAACCTTCTTACAGTCATGGGCAGGGCCAGGCCGTTGCTTTGTAACCCATATCGGTCATATCGTATATACCCCCGTGCGTTGATCTACTACAATATCCAAGGGCCCGGTCTGGCCTGCCTTCAATGGGAACGAGAGTGAGATAAGCAAGTCATAGACCTATTTATAGGAGCAGTTCCCCGCAGCTCATTGGGAATGCCAGTATCATTTTATCTGTCATCAGTATGCAAATTCATTCTGCGGAACTCTTACAAAACATATGGAAATGGGAGGGGGATGAGCTAGAGGCCAAAGTTCAGGGTCAGGGCACAATCATTCGACTTCTCGCAATTCTAATTGCCCTTGTCAACAGTTTTTGGTCCCATAAATCTCTCAAATCTCAGAGCACTTAGTGCACTTAGTAATCTGCAATTATAGAACAGATCCGGGCGAAGCTTTGAACTCACTTTCGTTCGAATGGAATGATCTGGCTTCTCCTCCGGCTCCGCCTCCTCCTCCGACAGACAGACAGACAGACCACGCCCCATTCTGACAGCTTACCCACATAGACGTGAACGAGTATTGAGTACTTTTCCCCCATTAATTAAGTAAACGGTTTCCATAGTACAGCCAGCCAGGTTGAAATTCCAAAAAAATCAGTTTGTTTTGTATCGCCGCCAAAACTCTTGGGCAAGGGAATCCCGCGGAACGAGTTTTTGTGTGTCGCTGCTATTCGACCCAACTCATTAGCATAGCCATGTGAGCTGGAGGCTGCCTTGCTTGCTCATGATGATAATGATAATGATGGCTATGGGGTTTTTGAGAGTGATGAGCAGCGGGTATCAAGCGTGTGGCGCTACACATTATATGTAGATGTAGGATTCCTTAAAAAACCCCACCCCCCCAATGAATCACACGCCCACAATGCCGTCTCATGATCAGAGAAGGAGGTTTATAATGTCTCAAATTCAAAACAAAAAGCTGGGCTTTTTTGTGAGCTTCTTTTCCTGATTTCTCTCGCTCACGAATTGACGTCAGCACCTGGCCTGGCCGCCTTTTGTTTTGCATTTGATTGGTATACAATCCAATCCATCCAGCGATGCCACATGTGTGCTGGTTATTTGCACACCAGCACCACAACAACATCCAAACCATAACAATAATTAACAGATACTCTCCCGTGCAGGAGCAGCTTTATTTGCGTAGCTGCGCGGCACCAAAACAGAGTCGAGCGGAGCAGAGCCGAGCCGAGCCACTGGCCGGGTGTCAGAGCCAACATCAGAGTCAGAGCCCAGAGCCAGAGCCCAGTGCCAAAGCCAAAGAGGAAGCGCATGTCTTTAAGCAGCACTTGACGACGCAATAATTGTACGAATATTGTACTGTATTTATGCACAATTCCGCCAGTTGTATATTGGCAAACACAAAACTATATTTGAACAACGGAAACTTGAATACCCTAACATTTGTGTTTGGCCTGATGGCCAATGCCATTGACTGAATGCAGTAGTAGCTTCCAGACTGTTGATTGATCAAGTGGGTAATCATTTCCGAGCTAAAGTAGTATTGAGAGTGGGAGGGGTAACAACCGTAGCAACTCATTTTGAGTAAGCTTGAAGATTTCCTCTTTTAATTTTATATTTATTGTAATTAATAGTGAAAGATTTCATGGGTGGGACTATCCCATACATATATTCGATTAGGTCTTCTGTAAGGCAAATGTACGTCTAAAAGAGAGTTTCCTAAACATACTCTGATTCCCACCATTTGTGAGGGATATAGTAATTCTCAAGGGTACTTGGATTTAGCTTGGATTTAGTTGCATTAGTTCGATCATTGCCTTCAGACCAGAGCTACTGATCCATGATCAACACTCCACAAAGAACTACGAAGTTTTCTAAACTATAAATAATTTTGTATAGATTACGGGAAAAAAAAACACCTACAATTTTCAAGTTCAATAAAAAAAACCCCAAAACTCGTAATCTTGGTTATATGTAGGTAAAAAAAAAAAACCAATGTGATAGGAAAATCCCTAAGTGGCCTCGACCACATTATCAGCTTGAATTTAAACTGGAAAATATATTTGCATCGCTATTATTTGTATATTTAGCTTGGAAAATATAGAAAACCCCTTAAATTCCATTGACCGCATCATAAATAAACTTTTGTGCGGAATATCTGTTTGAAAGTTTTCAAATAATAAATATTTTAAGAATTGCGCTCAATAAAATGATATTTACGATATCCAATCTATTTGAAAATTGATAGCTCTACGGCAGACCTATAAATCAAGCGATAAGATACGAAAATATAACATTTTGTTGGACACTTTTTGATATTCGTAGATCTGCAGCCGGTTTCGAAATGCATTGTAAAATATGTATTTATTTATATGTGACAATGTGTCTGGAGTAACGGGGGACTGCGATATATTTAGCAGGAAGACAATGGGGCGGGATCTCTCTCTCTCTCTCTCTCTCACTCTCCCTCTCGCTTTTCTGTGTCTTCAGGAAGAGTATAAAAATACACACAGACGAGACGAGCTGCGATCGTCATGGGGCTGGTGCTGCGACTGGGGGGGGGCTCTTAATAAGTTTTCAAAAGGTTGGCAAAATACTGTTTAAATATTGTTATTTTCGGACTAATATCCTCCACGTTTTCTGACGCAATTACGGATGAGGTGAGAGTGTCCCAAAGGCAAATTGCCGTGCGACCTTCTCAAATGACAATGGTCCCTCGCGATTTCATCTCCATCGCCTCCATCACCCCCCCTGCATGAAATTGCGTCGCGCACAGCAAAGTTGAATGCCAGTTGCAAAAGTGTGCCCCGGTTCCGAGGGCTTCCTAATGGAACGGCGGCTTTCAAGGGGGGCGGCCGGGGCATAGCAGCATATGACGGTCAAGGGGATGTTGCCGTTCTTGCTTTCTAAATAAACATTAATTGTTTATAATATATGCTACACATACGAGTGAGGAGTATACATAGTACCTATGTATATGTATGTATATTTATGTGTAGTTTATAGTTGACCGTCGTGGTTTCATCGTCACAATTTGCCGACGCTGAAATTGCATTAATTTGTCCGAGGGTCGCCTTGGGGATCGCTTTGCTTTTGGGTTTGGTTTAGTTTGGTTTGTGTTCGGGGTTCAGGGCTCGCAGCTCGGAGCTTGGAGCTTTGGTGCTCTTTGGGTGTGCTGCTCCCTTTTCGTTTGTCTGGCGAAATTTGAGCTTCCTCCATGCGACGCGACGCGCGACTCCAAAGCGGACTTGACACTTGGCGGAATACAAAAAAAAATGCGAATTTTTCCCTCCTATTAGCATGCGAACGTTTGCGAAAAATTTCCATTCTGCCGGGGGACTCGCCTTGGATCGTATATAATGAGTTTAACCGTTACACTTTGAGACCCAAAAGCGAGAACGCTGGGGAAGTCTGGGCAGGCCATGCCACGCGCTTGAACCACTCCCCTCCGAGGCCCAACTGATAAGATTAGGGCGATTGATAAGCGAAGCATTGGCGTACAAATATTTTAACATGTTTATGAGAGCCATGATCTCGCTCTCTGTCCCTCTCTCTCTCTCACACTCTCTGGCAATGTTTCCAAAGAATTGAGTTGGTGGGTTTACCTGTATTTAAACCCGTAGCCCGCTCTATTCATCTCTATTCAGCTTCTTTTTCCACCTGCTCAGCCCTGTCCGTGTTCCGTGGTTCATGGTTCGTGGTCCCTGTCCTTGTCCGGCGCTCTACCTGTCAAAGAACAAAAATGATTTGTTATTCAAATGAAATGCGTCCGTTGACGGGTCGACGAGGGTGCTCTGACGGTTGCCAGCCAAGCTGCTGCCTGTCTGTTGTCGTTCCGCTGTCTTCTACGTCAAGAACCCCGGCGACGATTACATTTAGTCAATGTGCTAGTGTCCGTCCGGTCAATGTGTCGTATACGTATCGCTACGTCTGTATCTCTATGTAAGAGTATCTGTGATAATGCGGTGGAAGTGCAGATAGGGCTGTAAAATGCATCAAAAAGTTGTTGGGCTGTAAGTGTATTCCCCCCTTGCCGTTTCACTTAGCTCTCTCTCTCTCTCTCTGTTTTGCTTGGTTATCGCCTCTCTCACACACACACTCGCTCGCCGCTCGCCGCTCTCCGCTGTTGCCAACTACCGCTAATTTGGTCAGCATCTGACTTTTGTTTTTGGAATTTCGCTTTGATTTAACCTCCCCCCGCTGGCGCTGCCATAAGTTTATTACGACTCTGAAGAGTGTGTGTGGTGTCAATGTATGCGAGAGCTTGGCAAGTTCAGTTCGTTAGCTTTGCTTTGTCATCCGCAATATCACTTTGCGCGCGCTCTCTCTCTCGCTCGCTCACTGCCATTGCTGTGCGCTCTCTTGGCGAAGTGAGTGCTTCGCCTGCCTATAAAAGCGAGGCGAACTGAGGCCAGCGCGTTCATTCGATTCCACCCATCCTCTACGGTCGTGCATGCCACTTGGTCTTTGGCTTTCCAGAAAAAATCAATTCCGTTTGTCTCAGCGGAAGCCCAACTATAAAAGTGCGCTGCATCATAACTTTCGGTTATTGTTTGGATATCAAACCGATGAACACTCTCAACACTGGAGTAATAAATAATTGCATACATTTCCACAAGTTAACTGTCTCCATCGCGTGTGAAAAGTTACTAAGAAAAACAAAAACAAAAACAATACAATAGCCAAAAACGGTTACTGTTCATTTTACAAGCAATTATAAAAGATAATTTGATTTGTTGTGGCTTATGCAAGGCCAAAACAACCACAGCAGTAACAACAATTACAATTACAACTACAACAAAAACAAACAACCAACAACTGCGACTAAAATCCCAATTTGGATTTATTAATAGCGCAGAATAAATAAAAAACAGAACAACGTTCAACAATTTCTGTAAAAATACAACAAATGTAAGTATTTCCGTGCCCAAAATAAATCAACAACAACGAACAGACCGACCCCAGGCCCCACCATACTCCCTCCCGCCTCCTTTTGTACATTCATCTCCTCTCCTCGTTTGTATAGCTGTATCTATGTGTGTCGTGTTTTGTTATGCGGCTGTGTGAGTGCCCTTCTATAAATAAATTAAATCAAATTAAATGCAACTAGTTGTGCTGTGGCAAGAGGCACAGGGGCCGTGTGTCAGAGCCAGATACCCAGATACATGGCGGCGGCTGCCGCATTCGTTCGGATAAATTACAGCAATTTTCGTTTTGTGTTTTTTGTTTTTGTTTTGTTTTTGCGACGTTTATGTCGCCGCACAGCTCTAGCAGGCACACAAACCCAGGCGAAATTGCAGTAAGCGGAGACATGAACCAGTTGCACTTGTAGCGGCACAGGGTCTCGACTCACCACGGCCTCTCTTTCTTCCGCCTCCGTGTTCTCTGTTGCACAAGCTGCATGCTGGTTGGGCGATTTAATTTTAGCCCCAATCCGCCTTTTAATTAAACTTTCTCATACGATCGAAAGTTATATATAGAACGGCTGGCCGCCGCATAACAACGCAAAATAAATTTATGATGCTTGCCAGGCCAGACGCAGCTCAGCAGCAGTCATGTGCCTGAGGATACGTGAATATATACATATGTATATACATAAACATATGTACATATGTTCATATGTTTGTACGTTTTTGCAACTTTGCCAAAATCCGTGCCCAACAATGTAGACAAGTTTGTGCTGTAGTATAGTATTGTATGGTATATCAGCTTCCCCTTGCCCCACAAGAAATCATGCAATTATCGGTCGGACAGTGTACTGCCAATTCCAAATAATTCGCACATTAAAGTTGTTTAATTGTGCGGCGCCCCCATCCGAAGCAATTAAAACTATAGAGAGATATGACGCATTCGACAACACTGTGATCTGTACACGGCCTCCGCTGGCTGTTTATGGTGCCTTTAACCGGATTTTAGCGGTTATTTACCCCCTTCTGCCATGCATACCCCTCCACTCCACACCAATCGACTCGACTTGACTCGACTTGACTCCTATTTCTCAATAGTTGTTAATTTTTGAGCCAAGAATGGCGTTCGATTCGTATTTGATAAACTTATATATTTGAATATGTGTCCAAGAAGTCACAGAGTTAGGTACAGTTGTGCTCGAATCGAAACTGTCATTGCAAATGCCGCTGACATTTCAAGTATTCGGAGAGACACACACACACACACACACACACGAACACGCACGCACCTGCACGACAAGCCCGTTTACCTTCGGCTGTGTTTGGGGGTATTTACCTGCAGAATGACCCCCACTCGATATCACCTTGTTACAATTGATGAACTTTGAATTGATTCGTGTGCGTTTATTTATCTGCGTCTGTCTCTCCCTTCCTCCCATTGCAGTGCCAACAGCAGCATCCAACATGTCTATTGCCAGCGTACATGGTCCCCAGATCGCCGACATCTGCAGTCCCCTATCGTAAGTATACAAAAATAGAAGCACAAAAACACACGAAAACACATCTCGACTCATAGTGGATTTAATGATTCACTTGGAATCGCTGGAATCGTTTCCGTTTCCACCGCATTTATTCATTCATTCGTATTTTAGCCAATCGCATTGTAAACAATGTCAGGGCCCTGTCGCTTGCCTAGGCCCTGGCCAGAGGCCAGAAGCGGTAGCATGCGACGCAGGCTAATGTAAGGTGGGGCTACGGGCTACTCATTCATGATTTTAGTTTGCAATCTTATCATGCCCAGACCGCAGTTAGGTGTAGGGTGCAGAGTACAAGAATACAACAACAATAATAGCAAATATCACCTGCAATATTTATGGCCCCGACTTTGGCCCATTAATGAAAGAGGGCAGCAGCAGCAGCAGCAGCAGCATACTAGTCACACCTTTCGAGAGAGCTTCGCGCGGTTCTTCTGTATTAGTGTCATTATCTTTTTTGGGGTCTGTGTCCGCTCCTCCACCTCCTCCTCCTCTTATCCGTAAAAACAAAAGCAAACGCAAGTCGCCGCCGCCGTGCCGCTCACATGATCGAGCGAAAGTCTCGCCGGCGTCGTTGGCGTCGTTGCTGTTGTTGGGTACAGTTGCCATTTGGTTCAATCATCCACAATCTCTCCCCCTGTCTCTCTCTCTCTCTGTCTCTCAGTTCCACCGCCACGCTACTCATTATCATAATCACGCCAGCGCCAGCGCAAGCGCCTGCCACTTCCACCGCCGCCCACCAAGCAAGGTCACGGCTGCCTGACTGCCTGCCTGACTGCCTGCTTTCCACGATTTGTCATGACTCTGAGCTAATCACGAATTCCCCCTCCCCCCTCTCTCTCTCTCTCTATCGTTTTAGGCATCACAATCTCGGTCTGTCCGCTTCGTTGCCAGATCTGGTGGGAAGTCCCCTGGAGATCAGCATGGACAATGTGATGACCATTGAGGAGTTGCGACAGCATATGGGCTCCTGCTTCACCTGCGGCGTCTCCTGGACAGATGATCATGTCTCATTGGACTGCAGCGAGTGCGGTGGCTACAGCCTGGAGCGTCCCTGCCCCCTGTGCGACGGCCAGTGCGGTGTACAGTGGAAGCGAGACTTTGCCATGGTGAGTACCATAGAAATTCTACACAGTCTACGTGTGCAGTCAGCTAACAGATTGTTTCTCTCTCTCTCTCTGTCCCGTTAACAGTCCCATGCCTGCAGTCAAGCCCGCTGGGTGGGCGTGTGCATCAGCTATCCGGAGGCAGTGTCCGGTGGAGTCCAGATGCCAGTTGGTGCTGGAACCGTCACTTCGTGTGCTGCCGCTGCGGCGAATCAATTGCGTTTGGCCCAGGAGCTGTGCTCCCGTCTGGAACAACTGTCCACCTCATCGGCGAGCAAAAGTGCCCGCACCTAGAGTTGGCCGCCACCCCGCCACCAGAGTTCCTCCAACAGCCACAACCACAACCACAGCCAGACTGCAGCACCCGTCACCATATAAGCCACACACCCGCACACACACTCATTCATCCAGATAGCAGTTAGCTGAGAAGGCAGCCCCACGGCTCCCACATCCATTGTGGACGCCGTGGTACCACCTCCACACACCACACCACACACACAGTCTCTCACCCGTAATTTAGGGCTTAATTGCTAAGCTTTTTAGTTCTTAGTTTTTATTGTTGTGTCGCGTTTTGAGAATTCTCTTTCATATATTTTTTTTTATATATTCTATGATTATTATTTCGGTTTCTTCGTTTGCTGTTTGCCGTTTGTTGTGTGTGACTAGGCAAATGATTAGCTAAGTTAGTTCTTTTGTTTAACGTTTTTTTTTTCGAATGGCACCCAACACATGACCGACCACCACCAATTCCCAAACAGGAAAAAGACTTCTTTCTGCTTAGACTTAAGTCAAGTTCGTTCGTTCGTTTTTTTTTGTTTGTGTTGGCAATGCAGTGATAACGGTGATATTAGGCCAGAAGGAATCGTGAACAAATAGTGAATTTATTATGATGTAGCAAAAAAAAAATGTCTAACTATTATAGCCTATAGCTATATACAAATTACCTATATATCTATGTCTACATATGTCGATAGCGATGCGATAATAATTTTTGTATACTTACACACACACACAGAAACGACACAGGCACAGAAAACAGAAAGCAGAACAGAACAGAACCGATGATCCTTGTGTCGAGAGATTGTTCGTTATAGTTGTGTGTTTGCCTTTTTGTGGTTCGAGGCACAAATCAAAAAAGGAAACAAAAACCCCAAAATATTGATGGTGCATTCCGAAACGAAAGAAAAGAATTCTATCTTCCATAATGCAATAATGCTCAAAAAAATTTAACTAAAGGGAAAGTCTCTCTCTCTCTCTCTCTGTCTCTTGCATAGGGGAAAAGCGAAAGCGCAATAAAAGAAACAGAATGGGACGAGAGCAGAATAGAAGAAAAAAACGCACAAGCAAACAACTAAAAAGCATTACTCAAAAAAAGTTGAAGATTTTCTGTGAAAATCCATATGACATCTTAGAAGAAGTTTACACCTAAAACCTAAATATATATACAATAAATATATACACATTATATACCATACATATATATGTAATACACATGAATATATTTATATTTTTAATGTAGAGATATGTTTTGTAAAAGACAAAGGCATATTTTTAAAATTAAAATATACTTAAGCTTATGCAAAAAAATCAAAAATCAAAATCACAAAAACTGTCTCATTCTTTTGGGTATGGCGGCGGTCCGTGCCCTGTTGCCAACTCGTATCTATTATCATCTGAGCGAGAATCATGCGATGCTTAACACAGTTGCCATTGGGGCGTCGCTTCTCGAGAATGAGATGTAAGCCAGAATCTAATCAATTTTTATGGCCACCACCAGCAAGCGCAAGCAGGTGGGCTTGACTTGCTTGTCACCTGGTACGCTGGCATGCCGCTAAATTCCACAGCAAATACGACTTAACGCGCTGCGGATTTACGCAAAAATTATGATACACAATGTTGTTAGCACACCCGTTATAAAGGGCTGGGGATGGCGGTGGGGGGGATGACTTAGCCTGATTTCTGTTGAATTTATCGCCCTTTGTGCTTCGTTTAAGGGAAACGGGCACAGCTTTCAGATTTCATCATTATTTTGAAGATGCAAAATCCGACGACCCACACTCTCGATTTGTAAGCATTTCTGGTTTTTGGTCTTTAATCGGCTGACACTCATAATCGTTATTGCCCTGAGCCTTGAGGCGCTTTGATGGCATGTGCCACATTGGCTTTATGGTTTTGCTTTTATTATCGCTTCTGGGAATCCAGTTTAATCATTTCTCTCTTCCCCGAAGGTGCTGCTCCCTCCCAGCTATCAACGCAGCAATTACACTTGTTATGATATGTGTGGTGTGGTGGTGTATAGATTTTAGCTTACATTTTCCAGCTGATAATTGATTAATGATTGTGTCCTTTTCTTGCCATTCCATCGAATGACTCTTTGTGTGCCTTATTTGCTGCTGGGGTTTCCAAGAAGCTTGTGCTGAATCTTATCTGTGGGAAGTAACTTGGGGGATGTTGTTCGCACTGCCTATCTATGAGATATCATTCTGCCACTAATAGGTTTTGCCATGTGATGAGGTCAGGCAACAGCAGAGACTGCGGCTGCGGCTCTTGCAGCTGCGTCTGCGCTGGCGAGCATACCAAATGGGTGTGTTGAGCGATACAAGACTAGTGCCAGCTGCAACAGAAGATCAGCATGAAGGAGCAGCACGCTAATGCCCCTGGCAGTACTCACATTTCTTTGTTTGATCGAATTCCACATCGGGCGTGGCCTCTGGCAGTGGCATTTGAGCTTGCAGCTCGTCCAACAGCTCGCTCAACTCCTGTGAGTCCTTGGCAATGCTGCAGAGTTCCTCCTGCTGAAAGTCGGGATTGATTTGCTTGCACAACAAAATCTGACTGATGACATTGCCCAGATTGGAGGGCGCAGTACGCGAAGGCGCTGTAAGGGGATAGAATGTTGAAACAGAGCAACCTTCGAAGCAGTTCCCCACTCCAGCCCACCATAATACTCGGTCATGTCGAGGGGCACCAGCTGAATCAGACGATGGCTTTTGATCAGCTCGTGATGGAAGAGCTGCGTCAGATGGTAGAGCAGCGTCAGATGCATCCGCTCGCTGGGACTGCCCAGGCAGTGGCGTGGCTGCGGTGTGATCAGGTGGGCCGTGTGCCTGCAGGCATCCAAGCAGCTGCGCCTCAGCTTTCGTATCTTCTCGCGCAACTCCGGCGAGTCGCGCGCCTGTCCAATGAAGATCAGCATCTCCCGAAACTGCGCCACACTGCAGTTTATTTCGGTTATCAGCTACGAATAGAACAAATATTATTTGGATGAACTATATATAATTGGCGCTGCGGCGCACAGCCACCTTCTGGGGGTCACGCGAGGGCAGCAAAAGCTGCGGCAAATAGATGGACAGTCGATGGGCTATAATCGTGGAGTTTCGGATGGCCAGCGCTGTGCTGCTGGCCACACTGGCCGCTGGCTTCTCCCCGATGTCCCTTAGGGCAGCTGCCGCAAAGACGCCGTTCACACCTCCAACATGGGCCATGCTTGGTTGCAGACTGATGCAGGCATCTCCTCGTCTCGAAAGTAGGCTATAAAAAGCCAGCAAATGCAACTGTCTGCCCCGTACCGTACCGAACCGTACGGCGGCCCATCATCGTCTGTATGTGTTTTGTTTTTGTGTGCTGCACTGTCTTATGTAAGCAATTGCGGTTCTGTACTGTCCTGTCTCTCATTACCTTGTGTCAACAAGCCACGGCTGCTAAACAACTACAAATGAGGGGCACGTAACAAGTGGGGGGACACAAAAATATATGCACAGCCTTAGCACACAGCAGCAGTCCTCCCCCCCAGCCCCACTTTAATCGGAATTGGTGCCAAGCCAGCAGAGTAGAAAATTTTTTTAGATTTATGGGTTCTCCATGCCATGCCACGAAAAATAAAATATATATACGAGTATGTACACAAAATCAGTCATGGAATCAGCGGTTCATATCACTGAACTGACCCAAAAAGGATACCTCGCTGTAGTGGCCCGGCACATCGATGAACATATCAACGGTGTCACAATCGATGGCTGCCAGCTCCTCATAGATCATCTCATCATCGATTTCCACTAGGGGATCCTGCAGCAAAAAGGAAAATGCAGAATAGAATAAATGGGGAAAGGAATCAGAAATCAGAAAGGAATCGCGTACAATCTTAGCATATTTCCAGCACTCCAGGGCTTTATAGTTTTCACCCAAACGGAGATTGATCAGCGCCAGGAAACCCCAAATGCTGGGCACATGATTCTGTAGTTGGGTGCATTGGATAAAGCACTCCAGTGCCATATCGAGGTTGTCCAGCTTGTAGTAGGCCTTGCCCATCAGATAGCTGGAGAGCATTGGCAGCAGCTTGCCAATATACGGATAGTTGAGGGCCTCAATGACCCTGAGATAGTCGCCAGTCTCGTAGGCAATGTAACCCAAGCGCAGTTTGCTGACCACAAAATAGTCCCGCTCGTTCTCATCGCGTTCGGGAAGCTGCATGGTGACGCTATAGAAGGCGGCTGCCTTCGCCAGATTGCCGCGATGGTACTCCACATTGCCATTGACCTGGGCATTCAAGGCGGCCTGCAATGAATGGGGAAAATATCAGGAACTCAGTGACTGCATAAAGTAGATGGACCCACCATTCTCTCATCGTCTTTAAAGCTAAAGGTTCGCACCACAAACTTATCATCCAATCGATTGAGCAGAATTTTCAGCTGCGTATTGATCAAATAGCGATTCGATTCGGAGCACTGATTCTCCACCACGGAAAACACCACCTGGGCAAACTCATAGAGGCCCAAGCGCACGAATATTCGGAAAACCTCAAAGAATATGTTGCCGCGCGTCGTGGAAAACTCGGGATTAATGGTCAGAAATATGCCCCATAAGCTGTACGGCGCGGTGGACGAACCCGAACGCCCCTGCTTCAGTTGCTCCTCGAAATGCCAACGGGCATAGGCACAGCCGGGCACATAGTCGTATTTCTTATAGTAGCAGTACAGCAGGATCCAGCCATCCTGCTGCAGTGGATTCGCCTTTGAGAAGCGGATAAGGCTGCGCAGCAGACACTCTGTGCTGTTGGCAGCCGTTTCCGGATCGTCACGCGTATCCAAATGGCTTATGTACAGCTTGATCCAGTCCCTGCGAACGGTATCTGTCCGGTGTGTGATATCTAGATATTTGCACATAACTTACGCAAAGTATTCGTAGCTTTCGGGCACCCGGTAGCCGTGTGAGCTGAAATATGCCTTTGCCTCCGCATATTCGCCACGTTCCATGTGCGCGATAACCATAAAGAAATTCAAGCGTTCATCGTTTGGCTTTTCGATGGAGGCCTGCAAGGAAAACATGGGAAAAGAAAGTAAGTTAAGGTAGCTGCAAATCTGTGGAGTAGTGCGCGAGTGTTGGTGATTTTCCACCTTCTAAAATAATCAATTAGCAATGCCCCAACAATGACCGATGGCTTACTTCCGTTTCCGTTTCGATTCACTACCGGAAGGTTAATGTCTGTCAATTATTCATAACCTCCAATCTAATCAAATTAGCGACACAATTTTCGTGAATCACAAAGCCTTTTAGGAAGCATTTTTCTCTTCTTTCTTTCGCACACAAAAGTGACGCAGTTAAAGGTTACTGATGAAGCAATGAAAGTACATTTGTTTATGCCTGTTTTTGCACTTATTTCTGCCATGATTACAATAGTATATACGAGCGCAAGAGAACCCACAATTGGGTGAGTCTTGGATGAGTCGTAAACGAGTTAAATGTGTTAGCACATGCTAGTTGCCGTGAATCAATAGGTGACACTCACTGCTTTTTGTTGGAATTTCACGACTCATCCGATTGAATTGGGGAACTAACCTTCTCAAGCACAAACTTGGCCATGCGATCATCCTTGACAGCATGCAGCAGCTTGATGGCATTCAGGTGATCGATGATTTGATCCATTTGTATGTGCGGACTTACAACGAAGTTATCAAAGCCCTCCTCCTCGACCCTATTCATAATTCTATAGATGCGATGCTCCAGCTCGTTGTAGGCCTCGGCGCACAAGTTCTACGAATAATTATAGCCCATTAAATTAATAAAATTTGATTTGCTGCTGCTGCTGCTGCTGCTGCTGCCCCTCTGCTTACCTACCTTAAATTCCACATTCGTTTTGGTGGGGGTGCGCGTATTGAAATCGCTGCCCACCAGCTTCATCAGAATGTTGGTTAGGTTGTGAATGTCGCAGCAAAAGTGCTGCTTACGATCCTCCAGCGCCTTCACGTTCTTATTGACAATATAGGCGATGGTTTCGCGCATAAACTTGTCGAAGCGTGCATACGACTCGCGTTGGATCTCCGCCAAGTCCACCAGCTTGGGCTCCTTGTACGGCTGATCGCAGAACAGCAGCCGGTTCTGGCTGATGAAACTCTCGCGGAATATTTTGAGCTCCTGATAGATCGCACTGATCGGCGCCAGCAGGCACAGCTTGATGATGGCAAATGTGGGCATCATGGGTGCCATTTCGCTCTTGCCACTGCGCTGACTCTGAATGCTGACGATGGTCTGCCGCTTGGCCCGGGACTTTCGCTTGCCCACGTACTCCAGCTTGACGGCAAAGCGCATGGTTTGAACTAATCCAGAAAAACAATATGTGAAAATAATGCGAACCATGTGGAAAAGTCATATGTAATTACCGCCTGGAAATACCATTATGGATGGATCGAGAATGCCGTGAAACACCCGCTGGTTGGTGCTCGACTGAAAAACCTCCACTGCTATATCGTACTTCTGGCAGATAATTGCATCGGACAGAATATCGGACAGCTGCTTGGTGAGTATATAGCGATGGAAGCCATTGCAGATGATCGCCTCATCGAAGACATTGTCAATCACATTAAAGTCCACCTCCATGCCCTCGGACAGGGCCAGCTGCGCGAAGAGTTTGTGCATCTCCACCTCCATGGTGGACTTCAGGCCGGTCGTCCTGTATTCGGGTATGGTCTGGCGGAAGCACTCAAAGACATGGTTCATGAACTGCTTGCCTATGCAGGCCTGTTCCAGCTTCGAGAACTCGCACAGTGGCAGCATCTGGTACTCGTTGCGCTCGTTGGGCAGCTTGGAGCGAAAGCTCAGTTTGATCGACATGGAGGGCACATCCAGCAGGTACTCCTCCCTCAGATTGTATATCGACTCGAACGTTATGAAGCACATGTTGGTGAATGTCAGCTCCTTGGCAATGGGCAGCAGTGTGTACAGATCCCATTCCGTGTGTACGGTGGTGCGCAGCTCGTTGGGCACATCGGGCAGGGGATAGAGGTAGAGGCTCTCCTTGATCATGCTGCGATAATGGCCAAACAGCTTGATCACATCCAAATAGCCGGCGCAGAGCAGCACCAGCTCCACCTTCTCTGGGTAGTAGTTGACCTCGTCGCGCTCACTGTGGTCCAGAATACTGGCAACCGAAAAAGTCTTCCTGTGAAAAGGCTCCTGTGTGCCCTGTGTTTCGACAGTGAATTGGCCCTCCAGCGACTCCTCCTCCTGCTCCTCGTCGCCGTGCACCGATGGATCGCTCTGTCGCATGTACAACATAATGAGCAGCGGATTGTCGGCTGCATGATTAATGCGGTCCAAGTTCTCCTGCTGGAATACCAGCGTGAACGTGGGCCTCGCATCGAACTCGCTCTGCCGTATAATGCCATCGGTGTTGTAGTGCTCATCGCACTTGATGATCAAACTGTCGCCCTGCTTTAAATGCAGCTCCAATGGATGGATCGTGACTGGCAGGCTCTTTCGGCATAAGCCGGACAGTTGCACATACAAGAACACATTCGGCGGCTCGGGATGGACGGGGGAAACAGATTCCAACGATTTGACGCTTTTGCGGCTGTTCTGTTGACGTTTTGGTGGCATTGTCGATCAAATTTTGTTTGAAATTTTAACGGGAAAATCAACAGCAATCAGTTTCAACGAGAACCAGGGTCGGGTCTAGTCAAATTTGACCAGCAACGGCAATTTTATGCAGCCCTGACTGCTGCGGTATATTTACGGTATGTTTTTACAATAAGAGTATATTTTGGTATATCAGCTGTTTTGGTCCAGTGTTAAAAAACACCCCCGGCAGCGGGCGCACGTGAAGGCGATGAACAACAGTTTGGTCTGGTTTCTGTTGTGTATTATGCAATTATACTGTGTGAAAATTGTGGAAAACTGCCTGAATTGAATGCGTTTGCCGAGTGTCAACTGTTTGGGGCTCAACACGTAGCGGCAACAATCCGAAATGTATCGTTTGCTGAGCGCAAATCGAGCCGCGGCCATGCACAAAGTGCTCCGAGTGCCACCCACAGCCACCACAACGGCGTGCTGCGATTGCGGCGGTGGTTCTGTATCGCAGAATTTCGTACATTATCAGCAGTATTATCAAATGCTATACCGCCAAATGCCGGCAAGTGAGTAGTGATGGTACATGTGGCGCGACAGCAGCCTCTTAATTTATAACGCATGCTTTAAATTTCAGTAACTGCAACACCATTCGCACGCCCACAGACCACAGCACCGACCCAGACGGATGCCCAGACGCAAGGCAAGAAGAAGCGCTTGCGCAAGCCACGCTTCGCCAAGTATGTGGAGCTCCTAGAGGGTATGTTCATGCCACATCAGTCGGAAGTGCAGCCACTTGAATAAATGCAATTGGTTTCTCCATTTTGCAGTCACTGAGCTGACCGCCAGCGAACGAAAGTCGCGCGTAAAGCGCCTCAAGTCAAAGAAGCTGGCCGAGTTCATACAGAAAACCCAACAGCAAATACTGGACAAGCGGGCACGGGAGGAGAAACGCGGCTTGAAGAAGAGCAGTAAAGGCGGCCTGGAGCCGGCCCAACGGCAGCCCGTGGAGTATCAGAAAATCGATATGGAGGCATTGGATGGGTCCATTTTGGAGTCAGGCATTTATGATGACCGGCCCATGCTCTTTTTTGGCAAGGATGAGTACACTAAACAGATTATCGCGAATCCCGAAGAGGTGCAGAATATCCTGAAGAGTTTTCACAATTTCCGTGACATCATTGAGAGCATGGGCAATGAGCAGCAGGAAGCCGATTTCGGGTGAGTCCAATAAGGCCAACAAGGCCAATAGGAAATGAAACGTTAACCGATTTCTGTTCTTTGTAGCCTCACTGCACCCAAGCACGGGGAGGAGCTGGAAGCGTTGGATCCCTTTGAGGCCATAGAACCCTACATCAATCCCTTGGACAAGAGCAGACCCGCCGTCACAGCTCCCGTGGTGCCCAGCGTCAATGCTGTTACAGCCAAATCCAAGAAGCGGTAGGCCAAGCTCACCCATCTGGCTTTCTACGTTTATTTAAGGTTCTTCCGTTCCGTTTGATTCGCTAGATTCAAGTCAAAAGTTCACGTAAATGAGGAGCAGGAGCGTCTGGGCAAGCAGCGGGCATTGCAAATCAATCTGCACACCTATTTGAATGTCTGTGTCTCCGCCAATATGCTGAGTCGAGCCCTGTCCACCATCATTGCCTATCGCAGTCGGATCAAGAAGAGCACGAGTCCCCGTCTAACCGAAGGCCTGCTCACCACTGACCTCTACAACATCCTGCTGCATGGGTATGCGGGCAAGGGAGCCTTTGATCGCTTCGAGGATATCTTTAAGCTGCTCGAAGAGGATGGCCTGACGTTCAACGAGCAAACCTATGCAGCCGTTTTCGAGTGTTTGGGTCGCTTGGAGCCAGACGAGCAGAACCAGCAGCTGCTCAGCCAGTACATAGCACAAGCGGAGCAGGAAGGATTCACACTGAACCAAATAATGGATAGGTCGAAATTCGTTGCCGATCAGCGTGACATTGCCCTGGATGCGCTGCGTCGGATTCGTTCTGACTTCACGCCCGTCTATGTGCCGCCGCAGCTGGGCTATGACAACGAGCTGCTGAATCATCTGAACGAGCATGTGCTGCCAGTGGGCGCCGAGAATGGAGGCAGTATACAGCAGGATGCCGACTATGCCATAATGAACTCGAGGCGAGGCTACGGCAAGGCGCAGCTGGAGCAACTTGCGCGGGATCAGCTGAAGGTGGAACTGGACGGCTGCATCACCATTAAATCGATCGAGAAGACGAAAGAGTTTGCCAATGCTGATAAATGCGTAGGTACGCTGCAATTTCTGCTTATTTATGCTACAGTTTATTTGCCTTTCCAGCGCGAACGACTGAAGGAGCTGGAGCAGAGTTGGCGCAAACAAATCTCGACGGCCATTGTGCGCGACCTGAACACGTTGCGTGCCCAGGTGCGCTTCAAGCCGCATGGCTACATGAACTACTACACATATCTGAAGGCGCTGGACAGCACACACTTTGCCGACATCCTCATCAAGGAGCTGTACAAGCTGGCCGAAGGCTCGGAGACTTTCAGTCCGACGGTGGGGCAGCTGTATAAGGAACTGGGCGAGAAGGTGCAGCAACGCTACCAGATCGAACAGAAGAAGCACAACGGCACGCTCGAGAAGATTGGCGAGATCTACAGTTCGTATTGTGATCTGTGGGACAGTGGCAATACCCAGGATAATTCGCGTCAGGCGTGGCAGCGGCTGGTGCACGAGCAGCGGGAGAGTGGACCCAGCATGGATCTGCCCGAGGTGCCGTGGCCCACGAATGTGCTGGCCGGCGTCGGAAGATTTCTGTACAACATTCTGATGCGCGACATCAAGATCGATCCGCACATAATGCGTCAGAAGAGTAAATCGAAGACCGTCGCCTCACAGAATCTGCTACCCGCCTTCTATACATTGTTCCGCAATCAGGGTCGCCTCGTCAAGGAGGAGGTAAAGCCGCATCCGGTGCTCTCCAGATTACTGCGTGCCTCGCGCCAGCAGACACTCACCTTTGACTCGAATCTGGTGCCGATGCTGTGTCCGCCGCAGCCCTGGAGCACGCCCCACAATGGCGGCTACCTGCTGAACAAATCCGAGCTGATTCGCTTGCCCCATCAGGCCATTCAGCAGTGGGATCGTATACGGGCCTCGAATCCACAGCATCTCTACCCAGCGCTGGACTCGCTCAACCAACTGGCCAGCGTTCCGTGGCGTGTGAACACCCAGCTGCTGGATGTCATCGTCGAGGTATTCCAGAACGGTGGCAATGCCAAGCTGGATGTGCCCCAGCCGCCCAGTTCCCTGCCCCCGCTGCCCACTCTCCTCAAAAAAAGCGACGGCAGCGGCGTCTCCAGTACGGATCTGGCCAAACAGTTCCGCGAGAAGCTCGGCCATCGACGGAAGAAGGCCGAGATGTACAGTCTGTGGTGCGATGCCCTCTACAGGCTATCGCTGGCTCAGCATGTGAGTAATGTGGCAAATCATTCGATATTTCAGGCTTTATATTACTCCATTTGCAGTACCGCGACAAGGTCTTCTGGCTGCCACACAACATGGACTTTCGGGGACGCGTCTATCCAGTGCCGCCTCATCTGAACCATTTGGGCTCGGACCTGGCTCGTTCGATGCTCATCTTTGATCAGGCCCAGCCCCTGGGCGTCGATGGTTTCAGTTGGCTCAAGTTGCACTGCATCAATCTGACGGGCCTCAAGAAGCGCGATTCGGTGCGCGAGCGTCTGCTGTACGCGGAGGAGATCATGGACGAGATACTGGACTCGGCGGATAATCCGCTCACTGGTGGCATGTGGTGGGCCAAGTCGGACACACCCTGGCAGACATTGGGCTGCTGCATGGAGATAGCCAAGGTACATCGTTCGCCCGATCCAGCCGCCTATATGAGTCGCTTTCCCATACACCAGGACGGCTCCTGCAACGGACTGCAGCATTATGCGGCCTTGGGTCGCGACAAGGCGGGTGCTGTCAGCGTCAACCTGGCCCCATCGGCCATACCGCAGGATGTGTACAGTGCGGTGGCCACGCTGGTGGAGCGCAGTCGGAAGAGCGATGCACAGAACGGGCTGCATGTGGCCGAGGCTCTGGCTGGATTTGTGCGCCGTAAGGTGATCAAGCAGACGGTGATGACCACCGTCTATGGTGTGACCCGCTACGGGGCCCGACTGCAGATAGCGCGCCAGCTGAAGGACATCGATGACTTCCCCAGGGATTGGGTGTGGCCTGCATCCACTTACCTCACGACCAAGACGTTCGAGAGTCTACGCGAGATGTTCACCTCGACGCGAGAGATCCAAGACTGGTTCACGGAGTGTGCGCGTCTCATTTCGGGCGTGTGCAGCCAGAACGTCGAGTGGACGACACCGCTGGGCCTGCCCGTGGTGCAGCCATACAACCGGCAGGAGATCAAACACACATCCCGAACCGGACTGCGGGTCAACGCCCACATGGCCATGGATATGTACGAGCGGCCCAACATTCTCAAGCAGAAGAACGCCTTTCCGCCGAACTTTATCCACTCGCTGGACTCGTCGCACATGATGCTCACCTCGCTGCACTGCGAGCGGCAGGGCATCACCTTTGTGTCCGTGCACGACTGCTTCTGGACGCATGCGTGCACGGTGCCGGAGCTGAATCGCAGTTGCCGCGAGCAGTTTGTGGCCCTCCACTCGCAGCCAATTCTCGAGCAGCTCTCCGACTTTATGCGCAACACCTACAGCTTTAAAGACAAGTACGTTTGCTCACCATAAGTGTCTAGCTTTATTTTCGTTGTTAAATGTTTATTATTTTTGCTGCAGCGACTTCACAAACGATGGCTCCGTGGAGGATCTATCCAAGCGACAGCTGAATCGCACCCTCAAGCAACTGCCCCAAAAGGGGGACTTTGAGCTGCACAACGTCCTCGACTCGATCTACTTCTTCAGCTAGAATAACCCCACTAGAGCTACACGTACATAAAAACAAACAACAGTGCCTAATTTTAATTTTATTCATTAGCTTTACACTTTTACAATATTGCTATTTAATTTGTTGAACAATTCGGCCTTTGATACCAAAAACAAAAACCCAACCGGATCGTGTCGAGAGGATCGGATCGATGCCAAATGTGATTTTGTAGACGTTTATTACATAAACTTTATTATGTGAAAGATTCCTATTAAAATGATGCTTATTAATTGTTTCCTATTTATTGCATTGTAGGGAGAAATATAGATTGGGGATCGAAATTCTCCTTGTAGATCCATTTATCCTCTTTACATAACAAAAAGAATTATTTCCATATGTTTCACCAGTTCGGAGCGAAAATTATTCGAGTTTCATAATATTCATGGGCATTTAAATACCCATTGGCCCTTAATGAGTTGACTGTGGTGGAAATTTTGGCGTTTGTCTAATACACGGGCTCAGAGTTCTCATCATACATACATACATATATCCCTAGTATTCAGGATTTCCTTCCCAGTATATAAAATTCAGTTTGTTTGATGTACTTATTTTCTTCTTGTAATAGTTTTCATTTTCAGTCATACTAAATTTCTACTAAATTTACTCTATTCATTTAATTTAAATCAGTCAAATTTATTTGATTTTCATTAACATTAACAAAAATCTCATTCGGAATTTTAATTACACGCACACATTCATTCGATGCGAGTAAAACCAACCCAACCAAATTACATACGAGTATGTAGTACATATGTATATTCTGTACATTATTCTGTGTTTATCCAATGCCATTTCAATTCATTTCCCATGGCATTTAATTGGTTTGTGTTTGGGGTTTTCAATGCATTCGAATTGGAAGCATTTTATGCGTTCGATTGGAAGCAATTTGTACGTATCGTATCGAATGGGTATGCGGGGCTTATAGGTAATACCAGAAATGATTGTTCAATTAAATTTGCAGATATATCCGCTAATAGTTGGAAATGAAAGAGTGAAAGGAATACTGCGTAATACTGAGGGAAAGAAAATAATACTCAAATAATTTTAACAATTATTTATTTAATTCTTTTCATACACTACAATTACAAATTTGTTCTCGGTAAGGGCCTTTACTTCAATCACTTTATTCTTGTTTTTATTTCTCTAAGTTAACTCTTATTTTTCCTGGGGGAATCCCCTTTCAACTGCTTCACCAATTGAAGCTCCGCCGAACCGCTTTGCGCCGATTTCGTTTTCACTCATTCACTTTTTGAGCGCACTTTTGTTGTTGTGTCACGCCCACTCTCTTTCACTCTTCCTTTTTACATGCGCCCCCACATTGACTCCCCCTCACCGCGCCGTTTCTGATGTGAAGCTCTCCGGCTGCTGCTGCTGCTGCTACCGGCGACCGACCGGCAGCGTCGTTTTCGTCGTTTTCGTCGTCGTCGTCGTTGTCGGCTTTCTTCTGGGGGGGGTGCTCTCATTTTGGGGCTCGGTGTTCGTGTGTGCTTGCTCGCTCGCTCGCTCGCGTTCGCTCAGTTCAGTTCAGTTCATGTGGCGCGTCGAGAACGTTACAACGGCGACCGAGAGTGACCGGCGGCATTTCCATTTGAAAATTGTTCACGCAAACAACGCGAATTCTGCATTGGGCATTCGGCATTCGGCATCCTGCATTCGAATCGGCATTCGCAAAATCAAAATCCAAATCGTTTCCAACATAACGTCTGTGTGGGTACTTCAGTGACTGAGAGAATTTTATGTGGATCGCTGACTAGCAAAAGGTAAACCACCCGCACCAACAATAAAGCCAGCTGCTTGATTAGCTTTTTATCATCTGGTATCATTCACGGCACAAAGCAGACTAGTGGGATGGGATGATGGTGGAGGTCGGAGGAAGGGCCAAGGGGATTGTGAATGATGGTGTGAAGAAGGTGTGTGATATGTAACAGAACCGCAGATATGCAGCCAATTCGAAATTGAAATCCTCTGATAGAAGAACAACCACCCGCCGCACCACGAGAATCCCACAAAGATATTTTCTGTTTGCTCGGCAATTTCTGAAGCAATTTCTGTTTTCGTGTGTGTTTTTCGGTGTGCATGTTTTCAGTGTTCTGTGTTCTGTGGGTGCTGCTCTTTTGTTTTGTTTTGTTTTGTTTTTATTTTTATGCAATGTTTTTCTGTTCTTCTGCGCTGTATCTTTAGCCCTTCTCTCTGTGGTATGGTATATTTTCTGCTGTTTAGCTTAAGTGTAGTTAGTACTGTGGCTGCCATAAATGTAAGTGAATTGTGCATTGATAAACGAAATCCTCCTTCATAAATGAATAAACGAATAAAGGCGTTATCAGCGGTGACAGCGTGCACCTTATCGTTCCCTCCACCCAGCGTATCGCACCTGAACTAATTGAATTATAAACTATGCTTGTTTGTGCATGTGCATGCAAATTAGCAAGAATAACGGCAGCGGCAAAGGAGCAGTAACAGTAGCAGCGGCAGCAGCAGCAGGAGGACAGTTACAGTAGCAGATGGAGGCGGATAGTAACAGCAGGAGCAGCAGGGGAGAGCACTAACAGTAGCAGTGAGCGGGAAGCCGGAACACTGAGATAAATTTACATGATTGGGGAGTAGCAGAGGGTAGACCAGAAGCAGTGAAGCAGAGGCGCTGTATACCGAAAAGTGAGATGCATTTCCATAGATCTAATAATCTAATTTATTATTTTCTATTATTATTAATCCATTATTATTACGAGCTAGCAAAATTACTACAAATTGTTCCCCATAAAGAAAATCACTTTCAGGAATAACATTTCCTGAATTCTTGAATCTCAGGAATTATGAATTATGAAGCTCATTCTGTAATGGTTTTTTTCCATCATCAATCGAAAAATATCAAATTCGCCAGCTCGGAAATGTATAATCACAGAACTTAATTTTCTAATTTTCCGATTAACTGGCCAGGCCATATGGAAAATATGATAGCCCTAGAAAATAAAATCTCGAACAGGCTAATAACATTGATTATATTTTGTACCCGCTAACTCGTATTACTTACTGCCCAGGCCATATGGAAAATATGATATCTCTAGAAATGGAAGTCAAGTATGTATTTTTTGGGCGGTGTAGCAGAGGAGCAGCAGAGCAGAAGTAACAGTAGCAGCAGCACCAGCACCACCCACCAGCAGCTGCAGTGGGCAGGGCGTCTGAAGTAACAGTATCCACAGACAAAGCTTCGACTCCGTCCAGCTTCTGCGGGTGTCAGAGAGCACTTACTCGTAGCGATAAAAATCACAGCAGAGAAAGAGCAGCCCATGATACACACTCGCACGCGCACTGTTACACATTTGTAATTGGGACAATGTTTTTATTCCATATTGTGAGAGAGAGAGAGGGGGGACAAAGCTTAAGTATAGTTTTCTGTTTATGTGATAATGTCATAATTGACATTGCCCTGCAAACAGTTTTGATTGAATCTCGATGGGAAATTGCGTGGAAAATACATATTGCAATTCCCAACAAAACCCTCCAGCGTTCGATTTCAATTAAAACCCGCTAACAATTGCCCATAAATAACGAAATTAATTTGTTTGGTGCGACCATCGTGCGTATGCGTAATATGCGAGTGCCATAACACAGTAAGCACATATAATCCCCACAGACACCTTTCTCCTGCACTCTCTCTCTCTGCACTATGTACCTGGCGGGGCTCATATTTTTCCGGTGTGTGAGCATCGCATTGTATTTGGGTTTAATGGAAAAACTGTGTCGGTACATCAAATGGGTTATTATCCGTTTTGCCACTCTGGAAATGGCCATTTAAATTTATATGCTCGTTGTTGCCACACACAAGCGTGCGGCACGGCACGACCATATGTGGCAAGCTTCAGGATGTAATGGTTAAGTCATGACGAGGGGGAGGGTACACAAGGGTCTACACAAGAAATTGTTATACGTATTATAGTTATTCAGATTTAGATTACTTTGTTGTGCGGCTCAAGTAATTGTTTCATTTATTTCTAAGCTGAGAAATTATTTATTTATTTTAATTTAAATTTGTGCTAAGTTTAAGTCGCATATCGTCGCAAATTGTGGCTGCCACAAAAGCATTTCATTTAACTGGAAATTCAAGATTCTCGTTCTGCTTATTCAGAGCATAAAGAAAGCCCAAAAGGAAGATGTTAACGTGCCCAAAATACAAAACATATACACACACACACACGCACGCACACATATTATATATCTAATGGAATCTGGGGCCTGCCTTTGTTTTCTCGTTTGTGGTTCCCAGAATTAAGCTCTATTTAACTTTGTTTACAAAGAAACCTCTTAGGAAAATTCCATCAAAACACACACACACACACATTTAAATAAGAATAGAATTTCGTACGGGAGCAAAATTTCACTTTAATTAAAGTTATTGAACAATAGAATTTGTACTCATATTCATATTCCAGCTGCCAGTAGTCACAGATTCCACTCCAAGAGAGCTCCTCCCTACGAGTATTTCTGCACATTGCTGGGCTGTTATCATTTATCATAACCCATAAGTTTCACTCATTTATGAAGCAGCTGAAATGATTCGATGATTCAGCACAGCATGGAATTGCTTCAGTTGCTACATATAATAATAATAATTTATTTATTGCATATTTAATGGGCAGCCGCAGCATTCAAAGATAATTTCCATTTTAATGTCATTATGAGGGAATTACGAATTTCGAGAACCTACCAATTGTGGGGCCCAAAAGATAAGAACTCTGCTGAATGCTGTCACTGAACATTGAACCACTCTTACTGCGCCCCCTCGTCTGGCCACCTCGCGTGAGTTGTGGCCATTTTCTGGCCGGGTGGAAAGTGAAATCCAGTCAAGTGCGAGTGCAGGCACAGATTATGCTGTTTTGGCAGCTCACTTTTGTGGGGGCGGGGGACCCCAGCACTTGCCACTGAACTATTTATGGCACTCCCACTCACGGGGCACTCCGTTTGTCACTCGGACGCCTGACCTGAGTAATTAGCTTGCCCCGAAAAACAAGCACGGACGAACTACGTTAAATCGGACTGCATTATCCACAGAAGCAAGAAGTTTTAGTTGCAGTAAAACCCATAAAAAAACTGCTTATATTTCATGGAACTTTGTCAACGGTTTTAATAGATAAATTAACTTTTATATTTAAACTAACTTGCAATATTTTTACTGGCCTTTAAGCATTTTAAATACCTTTACCGTGACTACAGATTTTAGTGTTAATAAATTTTT